CCCCAAAACCCCAAAACCCCAAAACCCCAAAACCCCTCTTGGTATAAAAATTATTGAAACTAAAGAGATAATGGAGAAATGGAAAGATCCCTTTAAGCAAGATAGTGAAAGTATCCATAAGTCAATGGGTAAGTTTTAGAGTGAGATTAGAGATATTTTAGCATTTCTTTAGTGTTTAGAGCAAGGCTTTATGATATAGGGCTGGAGAAATTCAAGTCAGGTCTTAGAATTGAGGTTGTGGATGACCCAGGTTTGTCTAAAAGACTTGAGCAAGATGCTTCTGAATCAGAATTTTCAACTGGACACTTTGAAAAGAAGAAGCCAATCACTCATCGAAGAATAGAACCTAAAGGTAATGCCTTTCATTTTTACTCATATTTAGATCTACTGATTAAAGAAGATAGCGAATTCTACAAACTTGGAGGAAGGTTTAGTGTAGAGTCAGAATTATACAAAATTCTTGAGGAAATCAAGGAAAATACCTTGGTTAGTAGGAAAAAGTCCAAGAAAAAATTCAAACCAAAAGCTAAGAAAAGTAAGAAAAAGGTAACCTTTGATGACCAGAAGTCAAAGATTGTAATGAGCGAGAAAGGGTTCCTCATGGTTCCAAACCTAGTGACTCCTAGAAATAACAGGAAATTAAAATAAAGCTAGATTAAGCCAGTTTGTAAAAATGATGAATAACAATATTCCACCCTCTAAAAGAAAAATAGGTAATTAACTTTTGACTGAGTGCTTATAGGGACAAAATCCATGAGTCAGATACCTGAATTCAGCTCACCTAACTTCAAGACTCCCAAGATGATGAGTAAGCGTACTGTATTCTCTATTGTCTCTGCACTCATCCAGACAAATACCATTTACTCCAATAGAGTCAAGATTTGGTTTCTAGTTATTGCTAAATTTAGATTTAGAGAATCTTCTCTATAAAGAGGCTTCTAATTCAATATGAAGACTCTCTATCTCTCTCAGTACACTCTTCTTCAGGTTAAAATCTAAGATAGGATCTCATTTTCAAATGCTTCGTGAGATAATTAAGTAAATGAGATGCTCATGAAAATTAGTGAGAAATTTATTATTCCGGACTCTATTTTATGAAGAATGATGGCTTAAATAAAAATTTACATTAAGGCTCTGTCTTCAGTTTGGAGTTTTAACATGGAAAAACTTAGATACACAGTCTGGAGAATATATGAGGGTTTATCTATGCAGCAATTTTGATTTACTTTTTGTCTAATGAGTACTAGATTCAAGTTCAATGTCCACCTTTCCATCACTGGCTCCAAAAAAAGGCAACTTCAAAATCTTTCAAACCCTTTGCTATTGGAGAGAAAAAAGTCAAAAATAAAGTACTGCAGAAATCCCAAGAAATTTCAAGAGGGCCTTAGAGGTAAGGTGAATTCGAGGACTACTCGAATTTCAAACTAGTTTGTTAGATAAAAGAAAGGGTTTATGCTTAAATTAAAATCCTTGGCATACACAATACGGAATCCCCCAGCTATTTCCTATAAGCTGATTAATATCCTTCCTTAAAATTTCAGAACTCTTTGCCTTTAAACTCTTATCTTTCCCACTTATTGCATCTTGCTATTAGGCTGAACACTAAGTTAAATATATAGTTCCTGCTTTATCAACAGTGAAAAACTACCAGGATTTCAAGTCCAAGATCAGGATGCTCAGGGGAGATATGGAGGATCCATTCAAGGAAGAATCTAGAGATCCTGAAGGCCAGAAAGGCTACAAAATCATACAAATAAAATTTAAGCCTGATAAGTCAGACTATGATGTCCAAAAGATTATGAAGAGAAGGTAAATTACATACAATGGTCAGAAGTGAGAAGGGAGAACCAAGAATTTGATCGTAAAAGTTTGGCATTTATAACAAGAATAGTTCAAAAGCTATGCTTTAGAGGTTTCCTTATATCTTACGGTTGCATCCAAGATGTACTTCCTAATATAGTACCTACCCTTCTGCTGCTCTATTGTTGGTATTTGTGAAGCATTCAATAGTGAAATCCTCGAATGGGGTTTTGGGGTTTTGGGGTTTTGGGGTTTTGGGG